GCCTTCAATTAAATTGCAGAGTTCTGATGGAGAGATATTTGAAGTTGATGTGGAAATTGCCAAACAATCTGTGACTATCAAGACCATGTTGGAAGGTAAGTTAATTGGAAAACCTGGGTGGGAGGAAATGTGTAGTTTGAGATAATTTGTGACTATCAAATTTATATGAGCAGCAAGCTGTCATAAGGTGCGAGAGTATGAACATGTAAAATTTACATTTTTTTCTTTAAAGTATAAACTACACTTTTCTGATACAGGTCATCTTTTCTGCATTGTCTGAATTAGTGAGGTTTTTTTTTTCTTCCCTCATTAAATGAATAAAATCATAAGATAAAAAACATTGAAGTCATTGCCAAGCCTTAGGCTGTGGCTGATTTGTGTTCAAGTAAATTTGGATTAACAGGCTATAGTGATAGAAATTAAAACTTTTGGAAAAGAGATAGCTTCCTATAATGGTAACTGAATAGAATACCTTATTTCAGTGGAGGGAATGAGCTCTGTGGATTGCTGTGTAGATTCTATTTATTTCTTTATTTATTTGGGACTGAGTCTCACTCTTGTTCAGACTGGAGTGCAGTGGTACAATCATGGCTCACTGCAGCTTCAACCTTCTGGGTTCAAGCAATCCTTGCACCTCAGCCTTCCAAGTAGCTGGGACTCACAGGTACGTGCCACCACAGCTAGCTGGTTTGTTTTTTTTTTTTTTTTTTTTTTTTTTTGGTTTTTTTTTTTTTTTTTTTTTTTTTTTTTTTTTTTTTTTTATATTTTGTAGGTGTTAATATTTGTTGGACTTTTAATTTTAAATGCCTTTTTTTTTTTTGCCAGAACTTAAGTCCTTTGAAATTAATTGCTTAACTTTTTATGTAAGATTATATTTTTTTCCTAATGACTCATAATTAACCTGAGTTAATGCATGCATTTTCAGAGCAAGTAATAGGTTGTTATTATGGAGATCTTGCTGAGAGATTTCAAAGATGGTTACCTGGACAGTCAGAACTGAAAGATAAAAAGGGCCCTGAATTTAAGCTTCTTACTAGATTTAGGGAATTGTACTCACATCTGCTTATCTTTAAATCATTTTATTCTCTTGTATATGGTCTTGCATTGCCTCAGACATAAATGAGCATATTCTGATCTACTCTTGGGATCTGAACTCATTTTCACAGGTAGGTTTCACTGCAGGGGAAATTTCTATTTTATTTGGTAGCCTTGTTTATTTTGAACTGACCTTCCTTAGGTTTGCATGTGGTTAATTGTGGCAGTTAACTATTCAAATGGACTAGTTAAGTATTCAGTGGGAGACGAAAGGCAAGCAGAAAGCAAATAAGTATGTTTTATTAAACTTATACCAATAGTGAGTTCAGTGGGGCAGGCCTTAAAAGCTGCTGTTCCTAGTATGAAAAAAATTCATAGAAATACTTGAAGGCTAACCTGTGAATAACTATTGACAGCAGTGCTTTACAGGGTTATATATTGTAGGTCCTTAAAACTTTATGATCAACAAGTTTAAGGCCTCTGATGGACTGTAGTTCATGAAATATATAGAACTCTCAAAATTTACATTTAATATACTTTTTTTTAGATGCCTTCAATTAAATTGCAGAGTTCTGATGGAGAGATATTTGAAGTTGATGTGGAAATTGCCAAACAATCTGTGACTATCAAGACCATGTTGGAAG